TCTAATGTTCTTTCACTTTTGTACTGGTTAGCATTGTACGATCTACTGTTGGGAGTGTTTTTATATTTTGATGCTGGTGAGATAAATGCATTATAAGTTGTTACAATTAGATGAACAACACAGAACAGATGAGAAAAAAATTGGATACAGTTCATTCAATTTGGATGCTCTTTTTGGTTAAAAATACACCATGCCAATAATACTGCGTTGCTCTTAAATTTAAAACTAAAATACTAATTTGTTTGTTTGTTTTTTTTTTCTTATTTTAACAATGATTTCTCAATTAACTGATCATGCTCTCTCTCAATACATCTTCACTGCAACATAGCAGACAGTTCAAATAAATAGTTCTTAAATGGACTCAATGTTTTGATTGAAGAAAAATGATTGATATGGCATACATGTATTTTAGCCAATATTAACACTGGAATAATGAGAGAACAAGAAAAACAATTTTCATCATAATTCATGTGAAATAGTTCTTATTCTTGCACAGAAAGAACTTACAATCATATTTTCTTTCAGATGTTCTTGTCATGCTCAAGTTTTGCTTTGTGGATGTTGTTAATCCCATCTTGTTTTTTCTTGGGTGAGACTGTACAGGTGATGATGTTTCTGATCTCCTGCTTCTATGCAAGGGTTTCCTTGTCAATCTAGAACTCCCTTGTTGTCCCAAGTTGTCTGTGCAAATGCTCTGCAATAAGGAAAGCACCAGTTTTAATGGCTTCACCCTCTACACCTTAATGTAAGTGTGTATATTCTCTTCACTGTTCTTTATAAATTTCTTGTGATGCTGACAAAGAGCTTCTCTAGTCAATGATCATTTCCTTTATTCTCATGACCTTAATTTGTGACTCAGAGGGTGATATTGTAAGGAGAAACTAGCTGCTAGTTACTCTGAGGAGTCAAAAGGGTTAAATGAGAACAAGAGAAACCTTTCTAATGGAAACAGAACCATATAAAAGTCTCAAATCATGAAAAAGCTCTTTGATATTCTAAGGCATCCTGGCATATACCAAATCCTGACTAATGGAACCTGACGTGGTAATTAAAGTAGGTGCCTACTAAAGTCTGGAGGTTTTATTATCAAGATTCTAAAAAGTATTTAGAGTCAGCATCTACCCAACCCTAATATATGGTGTAACTGCCATGATAAATAGGTAAAGCAAATAAAACATTGAGTACAGCAAGCAGCCTTAAATCCCAGACTAAGTACTGATAGACAACAAGGTATGTGTATAAACAGCTATTGCAATCCATGCATTATACAGTCATGTACTGTAGGTGCACAAGATGTTGATTTTGGTGTTTCTGCTGTATATTACCAAAGTAACATTTCCCAATTCCCTTCATGTTTAGAGTAATTTTCAACAGTAAAAACAATTTGTAACAACAGAATGTTGTGGCAAAAGATGGACATCACATGTTCATTTAAATCGTCAACATATAATGATGAGAAAAAATTATTACATTATGACTGTAATAAATCTAAAACATTACTGCTCAAGATAATAACACACTAGCTTTAATGTTGTCTCCTTCCTCTTTGGTCAATGACCTTATCCCTTAACCATAAGAAAACACATACTGTATCAACCTAGTTTTTTGTCATTTCAACTTGAAACTGTTTCACACCATAACATGCATATGAAAAAAGCAGTCTTGAGTCTGATACTATTACAAACATGTGAATGTACTTTATACAGTGCAGCTCAAAGGTAACAGGACCAAAATGTGTGTTAAACACGCATAGAACAAGTCTAAGACCAGATGCATACTACTCTTGACAGACAAGCATATGCATATGTTAATAGAAAGTATGAACTAGCCCATTGTTTTTTTTCTACTGTGGAATGGTCATTGCTTAATTAAATGGGCATTGCATTTGCAGCAAAACACAATGCAAATAAAGTTCACCAAAACAGGTATTTAGCGCTTATTACTTGTCTGCTAAGTCCCCTTATCTTTAAGCTGCACTGTAATATCTTATACTCACACTAATAGGTCTTGTATATGCAGAACTTGTCTGTTTTTCCATAATTTCATTCTCAGCCTCATTAAGGTCTCTGCTTAAAGAAGTGTTAGTGACATCCTGATTATCTCCTTTGACCACGTACCGCCAGATGTATCTACCAGACCAGGTTTTCACCTTCTGAACAAAATCCGAAAAACTATGAAGAGGGCTGTTGTCACTGTTTTCACCAGAAGCTGAATGGAAACAGATTCAAACAGTTATAATTATTTACACAGTTATTCTTAACGCAGCACACACAGTTACACTTTTACACTGCAGGGAGTGCATTATCTTTCAGGGCAGAGGAAATGGAAGATGGTATATTCATTAAATAACAAAGACAAGTTTCCTTTTGCCTCTTCCTTTCCTGGGGGATCAAGGATAGTGTGGTTAAAAGAATACTCATCCCATTCCTGCCACTGCTGGCCAAGGTACAATTCTCTACTGGCATCAATTGTGGGTTGAATTTATTAACAGTTTTCATCCCTGCAGCATGCAGTTTTGTCCAGGTTTATTGGTTTTCCTACGTCCACAAGAGTAAATGTGCCAAATTCCAGCTTGGCCTTGCTCAACAAATATTTGCAAAACAATTTCTTAAACTCATCAGAATTACCCAGATAAACAAATTCCATTTTACCATTGAATATCAGCATTTTATCCCACATTAAAAATGCTTAAACAATTCAATTTAACATTGTTACATCAACCATGTAGCTTTGGTACCAAACTGTAGCATCAATACCATCTCAGTGTTTGCTTCAAAACTGTATATCCCTTTATTATGTTCTCATATTCTTTGTTTTATCAACCATGTGGCTTCAGTATCAAAATGCAGCTTCAAAACTATATCAGAGTTTGCTATAAAACTGTTTATCACTTTATCATATTCTTTTAAAATACATGCAGCTGCTTATGCACTCACCTCCTTCTAAATTTCTTAACCTCTTAGCTGGTGGTGTCTAATGTCAAAAACGAAAAAAGCATTCAGCAATTAGGTCTTTGTTAAACTAAGCCTTTTACAATGCTCTGGTCAACATCTTGCAATAAAGGAAATAACTGCACATTTATTGTTATAATAAAGGAAAGACACTTATCCATGCACTCTAAACCTTAACACAATAAATTTCCATCTTTACACGAATTTCCTCTTCAAAATTCCACTCTTTCGTAAAGTTAGATACTGCCTTTGTAATATGTGACCATCATATGACACCTCAAAATTTCAACCTCCCCTTTCAAAATTCATGCTATGTTTACTTTTTCTTCATTGCTGTTTAAAATTGGAGAAAAACTTAAGTATACAGGACCACCAAGATCCACCTAATGCAAAGTCTTTACAGGACCAAGAAACGCAAAATAAGAACTGCAGTGTACAGTGACTCAATTAGATGTAAACAAGAGACTCCACATTCTAAAGTCTTGCCAAAATTATGAGTTATAGATGTACTAACCTGAAGTACATCTGTTATAATTACATCCTCGTCTTCCCTATAAGAACAAAATGCATATCGATGAATTCTAAAAGAGTCGAAATCTATACGCAGTAAACATGGATGACAACTTGTAAGTTATTGTAATACATCACTGTATAAGTACGAACGAAACTAAGTGTTTAGGATGACAAAAGTTGGTTGCCATTCCCTCGACGAAAGACTTGGCATTTGTTCAAATAACGTACCGGAAAAAGATAAGTCAGCCTCTTATAATTCAGATATTTTGGGATGAATTGCAAATAAAGCTGCCCTGTTATGCCCAATATCACATCAACTTTTATGAGGATCGCCATAATTTACACCTTTAAATCCCAACATAACTCTAAATCGTGCCCAGGAAAAGACACAGAACCAAACAGAATATATTAAAATACCTCTCTCTTCGGCGTTTGTCTCCTGCTTTCCTTCCAGAGAAAGAATATGAGCGAATATTTTCATAAAAAGACGATAAAGATGCCAACATGGTGGCTCTTACGAAATTACCGCCATCAGAAAACCACTGGTCAAATGCAGGCGAGTGTGACGTCACCTCATGGAGGAAAACTCATCGCTCTCCGATCTTTCATCCCATTACATTTCTTCAAAGTTCTTCGAGAATTCGGCGGTGTGCGACAGAGAGTGCTAAAAACTATGTGTTTGCAATTTTCATGATTTTGTTTTCAAGAAAAATACTTCGATTATCTTAAGAGGAGAATTAAGTGAAATAATTATGATGCCTAATTGTCTCTCGTGACGTCATAGATAGTGGGCTGTATTTCTACGGGGGACAATCATTTAATATGAGATAATTATCCTCGGCTCTGCGGGCTGAGACACCCCCGGGACAACCAAATTCAAGCCAGCTGGCTGACTAGCGGTTGTGCTTAAATCCTAACGAGTTTCCGAGTCGGCTGATTATCGGAAATTGTGATGAAATATGATTGAAAATATGATATTTTGGAAGAAAAATGTAGATTTTTTTTAAGTGCACACACACACTGAAAATGTAACTGGCAATAAATACCAAAAACAGATCATAAGACTCCAGCAATAAAAATGCGACTTTCTTAATTTTCTTCTTGTTTAAAGTCACATTGAAATCAGGTAAGAATAGCAATTCTTGTATTCACGGAAAACTCACCCAACTTACAGTTTTCAGACTAAGGATGTCAGCGATTGTGGGAAAGGGGGGGTCTTGACTCCATGTTTTACGTACTAGAAGCAGAGATGTCAACAAAGAGAGAGAAAAGAAGACATTTTTCATAGTGTACAATAATAGTTATATTTTTATCACTAAATACTTACAAGCCCTGTGACATGCATTGAGGGAAGTATCCTGTGACTCCTTTAAGTAAAATTAGTGATAACTTATTGACCAATCTGAGCGTGCAAAATATCACAGTTATTTCATAGCTTGTTCCTATCTCCTAGTGTGGTTACTATGATACTGGAGCTACTTTCAATTATATCAGTAAATATGCTGTGCGTAAAACAACAGTATAAATGTTCCAATATTTGTGAGCTTCCTAACAATTCGAATTTGTATTTTATCATCTAGGGATATAAGTCTTGTTCAAAAGACACTGAATAATATAAGATATAATATATCGATATAATAAACTTATCATAAACCTTTAAGATATACTTTTTTCTCTTCGAGGTGAATACGTTACGTCTTTGAAGTACGATGGCTCTCCATGATTATAATGATGTTATTTTTCATAAAACCGGGATAAAAATGTCAATTTCAAAAATTACTAAAATGATAGATTTATTTTACAAATCTATTCTCTATTTTCCCAATATAATTGTATTGGGATTCCTCCGAATCGGCTGTCAGAAATAAGTTGACTGATTCATTTGAACGGAGCTTAGCTCCAACGCTAGTTATGGATAGTCCTGTAACATTACGAATGATATTATTACTTTCGAACAATAGCCTGGCATCCCACGATTTGTGCCGTTTTTCCAAGGGAGCTGTTGGCCGACTAGAGTAGACGAGACACAGCTGTTATGTGAACTTCCAAATCGGTTGTCATTATGGTGGATAAATGTTTTGTACACACATTTGTATGCATGCTTTACCCAAAGTAACAATACGGAATGTCAAGCAAATCACGACGATTGGTAAACGTCGGTTGAAATTTAAACTTACATTTGCCTCAAGGATTTTGCAAGTAGTAGTCAACAGTTAGCACCGGCATATTGCGTAGGACCTCTACTTAGTTAAATATGTGAAGGATGTATTAAGTTCCTAATAAAACCAGGCACAATTGCCGAAGGGATTCCTTTCTGTAGAGGTAAAAAAAAAGGTATAATTTGTTCCCGGCCTGCGAGGAAAAGATTACACGTGTACAAGACTTAAAAAGCACCCGCACAGGCATTGTTCTACATTTAAAATGTTTTGTTTTTACCACGTTTTCGTTAATATAGCCGCTGTGGTTTGCGATGCATTGCTGACTTTTCCGGCGTAATTCGCGCCAGTAAGATATTATGGCTGTTTCAAGCCTTGAGTCTTTGAATTGAGTCATTGTGTCAATGAACCTTCAGACACAGGTAAGAATTTCTTACAAAACTGTAGATAACACATTTAGGAATGAAATATACTGGTTAAGCAACTCTAGCTCTTCTAAAACACGGATTAAAATATTTCCGCCAACAATAAAAATTTTTTTTTCCTTACGAGTATTTCAGTGTTTATACAGCGCCGGAGTTTATACTTCAAACATTGCCTTTCGACAAGTCAGTCTCACAGCACAATAACTCGGTGATTGTCACTGTCGGCAACAACGATGTATCCACCTGGAGAAACAGCCACACCCTTGGGGTAGCATTTCTGGGCGAGGCCATTGAGTCCAGAGGCAAGAGTTGCCTTCAAACTTCCATCCTCGTTAAAAACTTGAACCCGATGATTGTATTGATCAGATACAATCACGTGATTGTCCATGTCGAAGGCAATCCCCGTTGGATACTTAAGCATTGATTGGCCATTTTCCTCCGCACCAATCGCCCTCACAAAGTTCCCGTTTGAGTCAAACACTTTGACAGCGTGGTTGTTGCTGTCTGTGATGAATATTTGTCCGTTAGCGTCCATAATAGCGTGATAAGGGTGATCAAGCTGTCCCTGCGCGTGTCCATGGCAACCAAGTACGCGCAAAAGGCTGCCGTCCTCCTTAAAAATTTGAACCCTGCTATTCCGCCGGTCAGTGACGATGATTTCGTCCTCGTTGCCCAAGGAAACTCCCCACGGACGTTTGAACTTGCCTTGTGTCTCCCCATAACCACCAAATTTGTTGATAAAGACACCGTCCTTCGTGAATCTCTGTACGCGGTGATTGTCCTTATCACAGACAATAATATTTCCATGTCTGTCGACAGCCACGTCTGTAGGATGATTCAGTTGTCCGTTTTTATCTCCCTGGTTTCCGAAACTCTTAAGGAACTTTCCTTGAGGATCGAAAATCTGCACACGATTATTATGGCAATCGGCCACGAGGATTTTCCCTTCGCTATCGACTGCCACGCCGCAAGGAAGCTTGAACTTTCCTTTAACTTCCCCCAAGCCTCCGATGCATAAAGTTGGACGCGTTACGTTGCTGTAAATACGGGGATTGGTAACCATAACTTTAAATGGGCTGCCTTTGATGGGTTGATGATGGATTGCGATTCCAACTTCGTGCTCGCCGTTAAGACTCGGAGTAAAGCCGACTGCATAGCTCCCGTCGCCTCTGTCGACGATTTCCGACCTAACAGTTGCCTTATTTGGACTCCGAACATCGATCGTCACGAGATCTCCGCCGCACGTTTTCGGCTGGTTGTCGAAACCTTTCGCTTTCACTACAAATTCTGCTGGTGTGCCGACGTGAGCCTTTGATAGTCCGTCACCATTTGCCGTCGATAAATCTGAGCATGTATCGGAAACGAGCACATGACCGAGAGCTTTCCGAGTGGTTTCGACGGAGTTTTCGTCGTGAAAGAAGTATATGTTCCTGTAATTCTTCGTATTGTAGTCTCTTCTGGTGTTTGAAATCTCATTCAGCCGTCTTTTCAAGTGCTTTTGTATGACCAAAATTTCTAACTCATTGCCGATTTTTATGGCTCCCTCAGTGAACTGACAGCTGCCACTCAGACGTTCAAGAATCAACTCAAAATGTTGTTTCTCCTTCCGCAAAGAGCTTTCCTTTGTTTTAAATGCGCTGTTAAGTTCATTCAACAATTTATCTTCCTGTTGTTGTAAAGTCGCAATTAAAATCTGCGTATGCTTCTGAATAGCTTTTTCCATACTCGTCCGTTCTTCGTGAAGTTTAAACAACATGTTTTTGATTTCGTTTAAAGATTTTCGTGTGTTTTCCATTTGAGTTTTTCCCTGTCCTAGTAGACTGGCCATGCTGTGTTTTTGCTTATGATAAACGTCTCGTAGATAAGAAAATCTGTGTTTTCTGTGTTCCGTGACTGTACAGTCTAAGCAAATGGGCTCATCGCAAGTTTCACAAAAGTACTTCAGTTTCTCTTTTTGATGATCAGGACAGCTTCCCAACATACTGGTTACTTCAGGCTGTTCCTCGGGTATGTCCTCAAGGAACTGATCTTGGATATGATAAATCGCATGGTCCTTTGAGTGTTTGTGGAACTTGCGATGATGACTGTGATGAACAGGAGGTGATCGGAGAAACTTCGAGTTTGTTGTATTAATCGTTACAATTTCAGCAAAATAGCCATTCAACAGCGCCGCAGGCGTTTGGGAGATCTTGTCTGGAAGAAAGGAGTTCATCATACAGTTGTAAAACCTTCGTTTCAGAATCTCGTCGTTTAAATCGCACAGTTTGCTTTGATCCATGTTTCCTGAGACAGTTCAAGATCTGAATCGTGCAACCACATGTAGATGAATTCGAAAGTCGGTTAGAGAGCACTTGAAAACAAATTTTGGAACCGACGTTGTTTACGAAGCTAAAATAAGTAATCGTTGCGGGGGAGTTTGAACAAGGAAGTTTCTTTTGATATTTTCCCGTCTTTAACCAAAGGCTTGATCGAAGATAGGCGAGCGCCTCAAGAAAATTGCTTTTCCCCTTAGCGAAACGTGGCAGAAATTCACTCCTGGAAAGTACAAAGATAAAATAAATCGAATGTTAAAATGCAAATATTGCAAACGAAAGGATAACACAGATTACAAAACAAAAGTTTCGTTGACACAAGCCAATAAAATACCTCAGAAACTGCCAAAATCATGTCAAAAATGACTTAGCCACACGGGATTTGTTTGAACTACATGACAACACGCAACATTTGAATCCGAAACGCTAACATCGGTCGCTCATTAATGCAAATTTTAAATTCGCAAGAAGGAATTAAAGTTTCTCTGGTTTACTATTATGACCAGCACGCCAGCTGTTGATTTTAAGGCGTCCTTTTGTTTTCTCACAAAAGGATTTTCTTTACAACCTAGATTACAGAGATCATTTGCCTTAGGGACGCTAAACGAAGTATCAATGGGAAAGCGCTCTGATTGGTTCGCAGTAAGTGAGGTACAATTCACTTTTTGTACTTGCACAGTGAAACAAATTAAGCGACCGGCTTAAGAATAATTTGGGGAAAATGAGTTCTTTAAATATCGGTTCGTTTCTCGGACCTTGCTCGCAAATACAAGAAATTAACCTGCGCACGAGAAATAACTGCAATTACATCCTAAAGTAATTTGTCAACTGAGTAATTAAAAATGCGCTAATGCTTCTTTTACTGCCAATCAAGACTTATAATCTGCAACAATAGTGAGCGTCTAAATCTAATCAAACCAGACAGGAGGTCGTTACCTCTCTCAAAAAGAAAATTGGATAAGAGTTATTAGGTGATATTAAAATTCTTCAGCAGAGCTCTTGCTTCCGGCGAGTTAATCTCTTGTTTATTGCACACTACTAAGGCTCTACAAGGGTTGTCAATCCAGCATGATTCAAGTCAATTTTAGTCCATTCACCCATTCTACTCAAGTCCGTTTTGCGGCTCGTTATGGTTTTATGTTACACTCGATATGCTGACAGTGTACTTTGTCTAAAGCTGCCAAACTTGCGAACGTGCTTTAAGTATGTTCTTGTTAAGAACTAAATCCTCTTCTCTAACTGAGAGGAAACTTACACAACAAACAAAAAGTTCATCATACAGAAAATAATTTTAACAATAATCTAAGTCTTTAATCCGTGTTTTCGTAGTAATTGCGTTTCGATCAAATTCAGTGCGCGTACGATCGATGACAAAATATTTACTCGTCGCTCCTTTAGCGAATACCAAAATCGCGAAATATAGATGTTTATTTACCAGCAGGTTTGTTAAAGAGTACTTACTTACGGTTGTTAAATCTTGTTAAAAATTGTTCGATAACTCTTTACTGAATAGTTGAAAATAGGCTGATTGAATTCAATCCACTTCCTTTTCTGGCGTCTTGAAGAGACAACACAAAATTGGAATTCCACAAACAACACTTTATGTTCTGAACTGTGCGGCTCGAGTAAAAGCTTTAGGTGGTGGAAGACGATGCTTTCATTTTACCCAATATATTTGGCTTAAAAGGCAGAGGGGCTAGTGAAATCATTTGATGTAGTTAAGAAATTAAGCACCTGAAACTCGCGATGTCACGCCCAGCTGTGATTATGAAACACACTTTAAACCTGTGAAAAGGTGCTAACTTAATACACTTCCCAGTGCTTAAACATGTTCGGTTGATTCGCAATTCTTAGACTCAGATACAACTAAACGTTCTTATTAGTGAGCTTACTTCACTTCCTGCAAGAAGAGAAGATTACATAACTAGTGCCAAAAAAAAAAAAACTTAATGTCAACCGAGGAAAATTGGCACATCAGGTACTGATGAAATCGAGAACGGTGTGTTCAAAAGCCGATATCCTTGCAAGAATGGCGCTATTGTTAAATTATCCACGAGATTTCCTTGGCAATGAAATTGAAGCGATCATTGAGTCCTAGCTACTTAAAAATACTCTCCGGGCCTCTCTTGATGATACAAGAGAACAGAGCGAAACGTTCAATGAAGTATGCTTTTCCGACATATTTTTTCCGGGAAAGTTTTTGAGTCTTTCCCGCGAAGCTGATATAATACGCCCCATGTTTATTATTAATCGGCTTAAATAAGACAACAATGAAAAGGTTGGTTCTAATCTGTAAATGTCCTTACTGTAATAGAAGAGAAAGCTTTTGCTCGTAAACTCAATTACAGTTCTCCCAACGCGGTATTGAACCATTACGATGTTTGTTTGTAATGTTTGAGTTTTGGAGTGCAAATCCTAGCAAGTTAAATTCTACCATTGCTCCTCGTCAAGGTGTTTATCACGTGTTTGTGAACTTAAGTATTCTTTGGTGCAATTAAATCATGACTTACTGAAAATCACGCCGCGATATTTCGATAATGCACTTACCAGGCCCTTAGGCGTACTTCAAATCAAGTTCGCAACTGGATTTGCTCTGAATTGTTTGACTTGACGGCAGACTTCGCCAGACAACCAACGCTTCAAGAGAGTCACTCACTCAGGCGCTCGACCAGCGTGCCTTTCTGTATCATCAATGCTTAGTCGTCGTGATTTCGATTAACAGGCGACCGAATATCAGCTCTCTTCGACAAACAATGGCTAAGCTGCCCTTTTATTTTTTCTGCTCGTGTGTTTCGGTACGTTTTTGTTTTTCAAACGAGTAGCTTGAAACGCTTTTGTTATAGAAGTCTGTGCCTATGACGTATTGTTTGTAGAGGTTTGTAAACTTGTCTTAAGCTTAGTAATCCTTTTATTCAATCGAGACATGAATCACATTGCGTCATAGCAACTGTGAAAAAAAGCCCTATTAATTTAGGAATGGGCGATGTGATTACTGTGTGTCGTTCGTTGTTGCAACTTCAGCTAATACTTCTTGAACAATAGTTTTGGTTGGTAATTTAGTTCCAGTTGTTCTGAAATTTCTCTTCACATTCCTGGCCCGTATTGGTTACATTAAGCACTTCTCTGTACAAATTTCTATGTTTCCTTTATTTTTAGCATCGATTCTGATTTAAAACTTCCTCTAACGCCCTGTTGGTCTAAGTCTTATAGTAAAACTGGTAAAACTATTGTCTTGTTACTTCTGAACACACAACGACGTGAGGCGTCGGTTTTGAAATATACCGTATTTCTTTTCGCTTCTTGAACAGTAACGAGTAGCTGGTGGTGATATTAACGTTTAATTGAGTTTTTTTAACTTCCTCTCACGCTGAGCTTGCTAATAAACTGTCGTACTTCCGTAAAATTGATGGAAATCTGACAACAGCGCCCCTGAGTTACTACGTGACCATTTGCTTCATGCAAATGTTTCAATGTTTTTTATTTGTTATACCCCGTAATCCTCTCCTTGATAGCCTTTTCGTTTATTTATAGGCTCTTTCTCGTTAATTTATCATGCTAATCAAACTTGAGTTACTGGTTTCTAACGGATTTATTATTAAAATTAGAGAATAGAATTTCTGCCTCGCAATCAAAAGGAAGAGAGCTGGGAAGACATAGCTGAATAACGTTACGCATGCGCTAGGCTTTGGCGCGGAAATCGGATCTTTAGTCGTTTGCATGGTTGATTTTCTGTTGATTCGAGGCGTTGTTTGTGTGGCCGCTTTTCTTTTACAGAGCAACCTAGAAAAACTTCGTACACCCCCTAAATATTTTCGAAAATTAGTTTTCTCCTTAAAAACACTGGTGACAGGGACATGCCTTCGACGACAACAAAATGGCTCAGTTTCAAATGCCAGCCCCCTTTTTCCCGCGGATTTCGCTAAATTTTAAACCTCGCACGCCTGAGCCCACGTTGTAGACCGCATACTTGTGACGTAGCGTTTCGTTTTTAATCTCTGCCAGTTAAGAAAATATCCTGGAAATTACCGTCTTGACAGAGGTTCACGCCGTTTCTGTGATAAGCCTCATGTCGAGAACCTGGATTGTCACTTTAGGGAACCGCCGTGAAGTTTCTGTTGAAGTCAACACAGATCATATTTGCCATAAAGCCATACTTACACTGACGACTTTTCCCTTAATAATTACGAAAAATTTGCTTGCTGTACACATTAGCAAAGGTGAAAATGTCTCAAAGGAAAGTGTAAGCTCTATCTAACCCAAAGGTCAAACGTCGGGCTTGCGCAAGGGGATCAATTTTGGCGCTGCTTATGATTAGTATGATAATTTCCAAGTGAATTAACATGCAGTGCAAAAAGGGGTAATTTTTTAAGGAAACTATGGTGCTGCGTTGGTGGAGGGGGGGCACAAGATAATTTGGTGTTATCAACTGAGTTGATAATGTGAACTGGCCAACATAACTTGAGATTAGAAAGCTTACGTTTCGATCTTTAGCCCTTCGTCAGAGCGTTAGCCCTCCGCCCTTTCGTTCTAAGATTTCTTTGTAGATAGAATAAAAGTTCATTTTCTTAACCGACGTTACCCACGGCGCCGCCATCGTCGTTTCCTAAACTCCCTGTTGTTTATGCAGGTCCCCCATTAAACCAGCTTTAAGCCGAACTGGGCCAGACTCTCTAATTCATTTATCGCAAATACAAAATACTTACACGCCGCCTTCTGCTAGCTTTTTTTCCTTTTCCCTTTTATAATTATAGAAATTTTGGGAAAAATTGGTAATAAAACTATAATCCACGCTGTGGAATAGCGAATGAAAAATTTTATTTTAAGAGTAATTGCACGTATCCTATAGCTTTAGGTTTCTTGAAACGCCCGTGAAACTTAGCTAGAATGGTTTATGAAGAGAAAATAGTACTCGACTTAAAGAAGAGTAAACTAAAATAATTATGCAAGACGCACTTATCATTTGTAAGGGCTTCTTTATCATGAAATGTTGGTAACTGGGATTTCAACTAACTTACAGTTTCATCTATTGCCACATTTTAAATATTTCGGTTTCTTATGTAATTCGCTTGTCTGGTAAGGCTCTATGGATTTCTCCGGAAATTTCAAGAGTTGTCGATTCACATAGCCAATGCTTAGCTAGAAAAGAGAGTTCGAGATTTACTTGAGAGGGAAAAGTGAAGCTTGACACCTAGCCCTGGTGAAAGCTAAAATAAATGATTCTATTGATCTATCTCAGTAAAAAATCGACCAGTTATGGAGATATTATTACTTTTTCTCCCTAGCTAAAACGAGAGGTCTATTTAAGATGCAGAACCGCGCAACACTGTCTTATTGTTGTTTCTCAAACTTGAATGTTCCGCAAATTTTTTAGAAGTCAAATTATATTTCAAGGAATTCTATCACTTATCAATTTCAACGCCGACGTTCATGCTAAATCACACGTGCTGTAAATGTCACAGATGCATTACAACTTCCGATAAGAAAGGAATAATTGTGTGATATTTCTCTTTTCTTTACACGCGACCACTACGTTTCGCCGATTTTGGTTGAGCGATCGTAAAGTCTTGACCAACCCAAGTGCCAGAAGATTGCAGAGAAATTCTTTCGGTATAACTTGATCCATCTTCAGTTTCAAAAGACCCTCCAAGCGATACGAACCCTGCGCCGCGGACTTTGGCGGACCTTTCTGGTATCTCCACTTGTCGCGCGCGTTCGTCGAAACAGTGCGCGCGCAATTTATTCCAATGAGATCTGATAAGGCAAGCGACAGCAACTACCAGAATCACACTAAATATTACAACCAAAGCGATAAGCGGACCGCTAAGGGCATTTTCTTTCTCCTTTGGAGGTTTTTCACAAGGCAACGAAGTGGACATACACTTTCCTTTGCAGCAGTATTCTTCGAGGCTTCCCGGCGAGCCGCAGTGTTCTTCTCGGGAACACGATATGTTGCAAGATCGCCGACAGTAACCGCTACAACAGTAGATGTAGTCCCCAAGGCAATCTCGATGGCTCGCGCATTTTCGACTCTCGGAAACTCCCAGAAACCCCCCCAAAAAAACCATCGAAAACACAAAGACCGTAATTTTGGGCATTCTGGAAATAGTTTGTGGCAATCTGCTATTCCATGGTGGCTTGTGCACTCGAATCCAAAACACATGAAAATAACCCATAGCTGATCTTAGGGGCTTTCCGCCGTGCTTTGTGCTAAGAGGAATTCCAGTTTTGACCAAACAGGATTTTCAGCACGTAGGTTTTATATTTGAAGAACTATATCGAAGTCACGTACGAAATTTCTCTCAGCTAAATATGACAAATTGCTGAATTCCTTCATTCAATGATTACGCTGGAATTCGTGGGAATCTTCATCTGAGATTCTCATACAAGCAACGCTACTTTAATACAGCTTCGCCGCGACTTGACTCGATACAGCTGTGTGAGATAGTTTTCACAGTTTCCATATTTAAAGCCCAAATTTCACGGGCGAATATCGCTCCAGGCTACCGAATCGGAAAAACAAATCAAGCACTTACCTCTGAATTATAGATGGTCTGATTTGAATAAGAATAGGAAAGGAAACTTCACGTTAAATCTCTTCTATCACTTTAGTCACTTTAATACATGTCTAGTGTTGTGTTTGTACAGTCTTCACATATATCAATTTCCTAACTTTTCATAAGCACATGTAAAAATTTCTAAATGACCACTCAAAGATTGATTTCGATGAAAGTCTTCGTTTAACAAGGCAATAAAATATTAATTTGTTGTTACTCAATGTTCAATAATTTTTTTTCAAATACAAGGTTTGAATACACCTTTATGCACTTTTTGGCTTTCAAAACATAAAAACATACCTCCCAGTTTTGCTAAACTGATTCATCTACTGGGAAGTTTTTCCTTTCAGCTGTTAAAACAAGATACCACGGTCCGCGAGCACCGGGTAACTATCAATTTGATACTGCCTTTGGCGGACTTATCAGCAAGTACAACTGTATTTTATCAGACACTTTGGACGTTTTGATTGTGGCCGCCATAACTTCTAGAATCCATTGGGAAGTTTGTCATTCACTAAAAGCGAGTCCATTTCGCTTTTAAATGAATGGATAAGGCTTTTACTTCGGCAGAAGAAATTTTTAGCATTTTTATCTGCTCTGGTCACTTTTCATGACAGCAATTTCCTTCGAGCCATTACAGGTAATCAGACCAAGCTTATGAAAATCTTCAACTTGTTCGCCGCGCTATTTTTGCTACCGCGTGGCAGCTTGAAATGAATTAAGATTCTACAATTTCTTCTTTGTTGACAGATGAATTTGATTTGTGGCTGAAAATGTATAAAAATATTGACAGATACTTCCATTCAAAGTGAATTAAATATTTGTTTTACTTTTCTTCGTTAGTTTATTGGTCTTAGTTTCATTTCGCTTTCGACAAAAAAGTACAAATTACCTGTTTGTAAAATTTTGCTTAGAGGCAAGTGGAGCCAGTCAAGTAATAATTAAACATGTTTGTCACGTTCGATGCAACTTTTCATGCAAAAAGCACTTTTAAATCGGTCTTGATTATCTTCATCGGAAGATCAATACTATTGTTGACGTGAAAATCAAATCGACCGCTTTACTGCATGGCAATTTTGTACTCAGCTGACAATTCCAAGGGCGTCCTTGTAAAATGAAAATCAAATCAATTTATCGGGGTATAAACGGAATTTTGTTATGGTTTTCCTTTTACCATTCGAATAAAACCTTTTCTTGAGAGCTCAATCCTACGTTGTGAAAATAGTGATTTTAAAAGTGTTATACCGGTAGTTCTGACCATAATTACCGCAAGAATATTTCTCCCTGCTGGTACCTAATCAAGGCTGAAATCAGAGCCATGAATATTGCACGGGTTTTCAAATCCTTAATATCATTATTTTTTTCATAAGTTTTTTTCTTTAGTCATTTTTAAATAAAAGGTAGTAGTAAAACCGTGGCGGTAACTGATCATGAAATAATTTGCTGTATTTCACTTTTTCACGATTCTTGCGTTTACAAAAAAGAGGAAAATTAAAGAAGTATTTGTGTGATAGAATAACATCGCTGTTGTAGATATTATGGGCATAAACTTTCTCCCGTAGCCCTTTTCCTCTTGGTGATAGGATGCACTAGAAATCAGAGTGTATTGTTGACATCTATTAATAGACTTCTGTGACATTGTTTTCGATTATATTTACAATGGCCTCTGAAGCTAATTGAATCGATTCGACCCTAGAGAATTCTTCTCTGCAATTGTTGTGTTTTTGAAAAAAAAAAATTGCTTAATTGATCATCCATTTGATTGTAAAACTTAGACAAACTAATCTATGTCTGCAAAACCGGAAAATTAGACCCATCCGGCCTTCGATTAAGTATTGTCTCGAACAGTTTCACGCTGACAAAAGTGGTTCCAGGTTTTTTTCTTTTTTTTCAATCAGACAATGAGCTCACATTACTTCAACGAGTGTGCGACGAATTGTTGACAATATCTCATCAGAATTGTTGGAGTACTCTGTTTAAAATATTGAAAAACTAACGAGATTCTGAAACATTTGATTCTTGTTTGCTAAACGATTTTACTTATTAGGCAACTTTTCTCAACAGCAGTTTTTTTCAGTCGATGTTTCCTAAAAAACTCCATCTTCAAAGTTTGATTGAATGTGATCATTTGTTTCGCTACCCTCCTGAAATTAAGCGCAAGTCTTTGACTTCTATTTCACAGATGCGTGTTCCCTGACAAGAAATACTCAACAGAAATCTCGATTTTTCTTGCGTTTTTGTCGAAAAAGAAGATTGATTTGGAAAGATTGTAGACCATGAATAGTACCTGCTTTTCGGCGAAGGCCAACACGCGAGTGAAAAAGAAAATAGTGAAAAAAAAAGGATGTTTGCGCGCCACGAGGAACTCTGGGAGCAAAGTGCAATATAGCTAATCTTTTGTTTCACTGATCTTTCTTGTTTCGCGCAACGGACCTCGTCGAAAAGGTTGGACAGCTGGGAGTCTACAAAGGTTTTATTGGTGTACTGTATTTAGGAGCAATACAATTTTAAACTATGACAAGTGCTTCAGTCCTTTCATTTTTGGTTGGACAATGCGAAGGATTTTTTCAATTTTAGAGAAAGAAAGAATAGCTCATCACAAATGGAGGGTGCAAAATTATGATGATGCCACCCAACCCTTTTACGAAGAGTTGTTTTTGTGTTTTTATTCTTGGATTTGCCTGACGCCAAAATAAATCCAAGATGGCGGCTGAAACGTCGTATGCCAACGAAATTTAGCGAGAAAATGCTCTTCTGCCTTCCGACTAAAGGCTGGAGCATAATCTTAGATCTAATTAATGAAATTAATTTGACTAAAGGATAAAACTGTTCGTGAAAAATGTAATTTGATGAACAGATTAAAGGCGAACAATGTTTTACAACTGCAAGATAGGGTCACGCCAAGAAAAACATTCAGGAGAAAGTATATACGTGACTAGCACACGTCACAGAACTGTTATACTTCAGATTTTGAAACGCGATGTATGTTTTGTAACGCATAAAACGAAAAGAACGTGCACGTACAATTGAGCAAAAATGTTTGTCTTTTGAAATTTCTCACGTCCAAAGATTTTTACGTGAAAATTAGACTCAGAGAACTTTTGACGTGATATTCAAGTGAACCGTTCTAAATCCGATCGATAGTAATTCTGTTTCGACAGATTTCAGATCAAAACAGAGATAGACTCAAATCAAATTATGCTGAAACTTATCGCATTCATTTCATTTTTTGTTACGCATGTTGCTAAAATGAACAAGAGTTTGACTGATTACCTTATTTGAACAGCAACCTTAATCGTAACGGTCGCCAGTGAGATACAATAGTGTACAATGTCATGACACCAAACAGGACCTCAAAAGTGTTGTTTTGAATCACTTTTTGCAAGTGGAAATCAAAAGTAACTTCAAATAAAGGAAACATCTGAATAAAATTTTCGTCCCCGATGTAGGAAATTCTAAAGAGAACTGAACAAGGATAGTTAAGAATAGACGACAGAAAAACACACCGGCTAGGCCCGGCCTGTATTGCAAATTTTCGAGCGTCATCGAACAGTTTCGGCTACTTTGGCAAGAGCCCGTAGCTTCTTGATGGCCACAAGCATTTTCACTCTTACTTATCAACTCCTAAGCTTTCTATCAAATCAATAGTCGAGCGACAGTAAACTCGGTTAAATTTTGATATTTGCATTCACCATCTTTAGCTGTATACTTATGCAAGCAGAATCGGCTTTTACCGAGATTACTTCAAAAAGTTGTGACAAGAAACTGCTACAATCAGTTATTGCACATCCTGTGTTGATCAGTGATTATTTAGTACCGAAGCTTCAGGAAACGATGCAAGTTTTTTTTTCCGATTTGTCATTAGCTTAAGAACTTCAGAACTCTTTAAAAAGTTTCAAACTGCCCTGTTGTTGAATTTTCACCGATGCTGAGGGCAATTTAGAAACCTAACTGAGATAAACAGTGGATCTGCGCAGTCCTTCGCCAACAGCGCTTGAGGCGCATTACCCCCAAGAAGTTAGTCAATCTTCGAGACATGAATGACCTTTAACTCAATAAATGTTACTCTCCTTGGGTTTTCAACAATAAGTTCCTTCCTCTGCCAGGATATGTTTACACAACTTACCTCAAATGTACTGCTTCTTCGTAAGCGCGATGTCTTCGAGAGTTTGTCAAGGATTTGTTGAGGACTTCAACCACAAAACCTTAGAGGATAACCATAATCACTTATCAGCTGCATGATGAAATATCTTATGTCGAGTAATGTTTTGATGTCCCACCAGGAAAAAATGTCTCGTCAACACATCCCGGCCTGAATTGATTTATAAACTGAAGCTATCTCGTTTTAGCCGCGCGGAATTTCACAAGGTACAAAGTTTGTCAGCTTAATTATGAGGATGGTAATTAAGAATGCAGCTTAGAATAAATCATTTCATTAATTGGAAAAAGACGGTTAGAAAATGAACAAAAATGGGCAAAGCTCACAAAACAAATTGTATTAAAAACGTCTGGTTTTCGCATTAACCTCTGACGAGAGTGAAAAATGCTGGTGTTTTGATGAAGAGTTTAAAGCCACAAAGCACAAAGCTATCCGGGATTATTGTTTACAAGTTAAATTCTCGACGCTGCGGATACCTGAGCTTCAGATTTTATACCAACCATGGTTTACGATTCGCCTTTAAATTCACAGAAGGTTTTAAGACCTTTACTGACCTGCAATGATGCAGTTCCTCGTTACACCTGAGCTGAGAACAGAAACACTGCAAGGAATTTCTAAAGAATTTGAGAGTGCTCCTGCCAAAGTTATAGTTTTTGTGTACGTCAGTCTTCTTTACTTCAATGTCTGTTCTACTGTTTAATTTGTTTATTTTAATTGTTTGATAAGTAAACTAAAACGATATATCTTCAAGATTGTACCATGTTATTTCTAAGGCTTTTAAAGCCTGATGGTAACATCGTGTGAATCGAAGTCTCAATTTGGTTGTCAAATTTAGTGTTTTACTTTGGAGAGATCCAGGAGTTCAGTGAAAAAAAAAAGCTTCAACAAGATATTTTAGGTAACTGCCTCGTAAAACTTAATTGTGTACATTAATTTGCAGCCTAAGAAAACAGTTAAGGAATGTTTTGTTTTCACTCTAACCTATTTTAAATGACAATAACATTAGCGAAATCACACGTATTTTACCAAACAACAATCGACACCGAACATTAAAGCTTCTTCAATCAACGTCAAAGTTCACCTGTTTCTCGGCTTACTTATTGTCCATATGACTTGGCTCTTCCAAAGGTCGTTAGTCACCGACTAAGAGGTTAGTTTTGTCTACTCACGTCTTTAACTCATTACCTATAATCTCGTTATGGCATATAACGAAAACTTTTCAGCTGACTGAGCAAACTAGCATACGTTGCAGCTTAGCATAAGCCAATTGAAAACATGTCGACCCCGACCTGTTCTCAACCCGTACTTTTCTTTCCTCACCCTTTTCGGGATCAGAGAGGTTTAGGGTAGTGACTAGTACCTTTGAAGGGGAGAGAGGGATATATCCTTGCCAAAGCAGAAACCATTCCGAATCAATTTTCTATATAAGTGAGGCTCTTTGAGTCATTTTGCGATCTTAAGACTGGTTCATAAATACGATGAAAAGGCCCACAAACGTTGTACTCTATCAAATATACACATGGGCCAAAGTCTTACCCTCCCCTAGGGGAGTTTGGAGACAAAATTTACACGGAAAAGCCGAAAGGTCTAAGGTCTCTCTCGATTTTACCGATGAACCGATAAATTGTGAAGTTGTTGGCGGCTATTTCATAGTTTTTAATTTCTTCTACGTGTTCACGAGTGGCGGACTAAATGGTCGTGCAGTGAAAATTGCAAGATTACGCATTTATTTTAGTAACACGCGATTGTTTACCCTACATCAAATGACTGACATAAGTAACGTAACACACAGTATACACACGTTGGCCTGACCTAATACCACACAATTACCAAGGCACCAGAATGAAAATCAGGACAATTGTTGGAAAGCCCAAGGGCCTACAAATATCTCAGAAACATCATGGAACCTTGCAATGACAAAATTATGAATTGATCCAAAACTCCGTTCTTGTCAGCCTTATAATTCTTAGGAAAACAACAAATGGTTTTCTAACACTCCAGTGAAACAAATCTCTCCTAACAGTTCTGGTTCATTTTGCTAGCACCACACTCTTAATAAACTTAATCAAAGTAGTTGAAAGGAGGACAAGTTCACAGCTTAATGATATTCCATTTCTATCAGCTGGTTGACACCATCAATCACAAACTGAACGAGCTGGACCTCTGAGTAGCCAAGCCTGTACTTGTTGGAGATGTCATAGATAGCACTTGTGGTGTCGGAGTGCTCTCCGTACAGACCTCTCACCTGAAGATGGTTTTCATGAGACCATTTCTTCAGGCCCTCTTCACCCATCTTCTCCACAACTTTCTGTAGTTGAATTAACACTCCGCCTCTCAGACCAGTTCCGAGATTTGTTGGGCAGCATGTGATCATGCCAAGGTGATCTGTTGTTTGAAAGCTCCTGTTGTCTAACTTCATGAGGAGATTTTCGATTGTATTTACCCCTTTGACTAGTGTTGTAAATACAGAGGACACGTCACCACCTTGCTGAATGGAAATGACACGGATATGGTCCCCCTCATTCAGCCAAACAGCGAAGGTCTTCTTATGATTCAGGTAGATTCCACGTCCATGTGGCCACCATCGATGGTATCCGCTGTCAGCTTGCATCTTGTCATTGCCCTTGAATAACAAGTGCTCCCTGACAAGTTCCTGTCTCTCCTCCTCGCTAATTTTGACCAGTGAGTAATAATGCCCGGCCAAATCATCTTTCAGCTCGGCAAACACTTGCAGCATCAAAGCTTCTATTTGCAGCTTTTCCTCTTTGGAATTCTGTCCAGGAGCCAGATTGAAGCCAGAAATATTTCTTGCCACCCTGATTCTTGTGGATATGATCTTGGATGGGTCGGTGATGTTGCCTTTCAGATGAGTGTGGTCCATATCAGTCACGTGATTGTCGGAAGGCTTGAACCCGCGGTGATACTCCTCAATGAGGGGATCGAAGAACTCTCCAAATATGGTGTAAGAATCAACATCTCCGGCATGGCAACCAGTCAATGACTTCTCCTTGTTTAACACTCCGGTGTTCACAGCTCGAGCGATGGTAAAACCAGTGGAAGTCTTTTTGTCCTTCAGCTTCTCGAAAATCTCCCTCGTGAGGTATTTAGCCATCAGTGAGTGCGCTCCAGATAAATCAGGGTATTCGTTTTTTTCGAGATTTGGATCAAGCTTGACATCATTTTGTTCAGCCAGGTTAATGTCGTCTCCCAGTTTCATGGTCTTATCTTGGACGATAGTTTGACTGCCATCCTGTAAAACATATATTGTATCTTTTAAGAATTTTTATAATTAATTGCTAATGCAACATGCATTAAGACATTTCGCTCTGCAATTTTTAAGGAACGGATGCACCCAACGGGAAGCAGGAGATAATTTCAAAGTGATTTGATTGCATTTTTTTCTTGTTTAGGACGTTTTTAACCATACGTTGATATGGGATACATATTTAAGCCGAATGTATTCCTGGATTCCATAAAATTATGTTTATGCTTGAATTGTGGAGTAGCGTAGTTACCCATCGGGGAGATTTAAATAGCAAAATACACAAATTCCCATATTTGTGATTTTCACTACGAAAGTTGCATTCTGCAAAAATGTGGACTCTTTGCTGTAATAATTGTGGACTGTGTGATTTACGAAAAAAAATGGGCTGAGATATTTTCGATGAGGCATCTCCTGCTGCTCTGATTCAATGACTCCGATCGCTAAGGCAGACAGTTTTTAAACACTTAAATACGCATGATCCCCATATGTTACGGATCATTGAACCTTCAAACAGTCTGATTCTAGTGATCACAAAGATGATAAGAAATGAAACCGAGCGTCTCTGTTTACCAAAATAACTAATACATTTTGTTGTACCGATTACCACTCATGAGGACCTCAAAAGATAGGAACTAGCAAAATAAATCGCTAAAAAATTTTCTAGATTTTTTAATCTGGAGGCACCCATGCAAAATTGATCGATCACGTCAGGCCATAATCATATTTTTATCCACTGAATCGAAGAGACACCGAGGTCTATAGCGAGGCATGAAAGGCACAAGGCTATATAAATGGATTCCTTGGGCAGGAAGAGAAAATTACTTGGCCATGTAAACTACCCAGCAATTCCGCATCGAACGCTTTTCATGGCATTCCCTGAATAATGTCGTGACAACGTAGATTTGCATTCAGTTAAAAACAAAACAAAACAAATTAACTCCCTCGCTATTTGTAACCAAAAGTTGGTGAGTTCTACTAAAATTTCGAATAAAATAAACGTATATTAACTTTTCAAAAACAATTGCAAAATGACCAAATATGAAACAGGTACAATCCATTGCTTTAGATTTGTGAAAAACTTCCCTATTCGACTAGATGAGGAAATTAGGACTTGAGCTGTTACTTAGGCGGCAAACCGAAAAACCGACTTGTAGCTTTCTTTTGTGAGACAAATGTCAAAACTTAAGTTAGTGTTACTTTGCTACCTTATTTTGTGGATTTGAAGCCATTGTTGGGCAGATATTTCGCAACAGATCTCTGAATGCCTCGCGATGTCTGACTAGATGAAGGAAACTGATGCGATAGTAATTATATGGAATATATTTTAAAATCTGTCCAATCTTTAACACCAAATATGGTGGTAAGCTTATTAAATGTGCCCAGTTTTAATTAAATGTCCACCACAGAGGCACTCACAAACACCGGTGTTTTGGCCAAAATGTCTATTGATTATTCAATTGAGAAAAACATTTGTGAACAGTCAGCCACAGGAATAGTAAGAGAAAGATACACTTTTTGAGGAAAACAGACGTTGCGATAACGTGACTTGACGTCACGCACGTAACAAAAATAACATCTCTGTCAATTCAACAGGTCCTTTGACTGATGCTTGCCGAGGACTTTCGCCTAATGTGAAAGTAGACACTTGCAGAAGCTTACAAAAAAATCATCGGCAGGAATTGTGAAAGAGTTCAGGACTAATGGAGAGAAAACAGACATGAAAAGCCTTGGTGCATGTGTCCGAAAAGATAACGAGAAATCTAGTAATTACCGTAACGAAAATATTTGAATTTTATCTATAATAAATAAAACGAAACCAGAAACGATTAAATCAAGATAACGAAGTTATTATCGTGTATGTTCTATTTATTGGTTTTGGTAAAAGGTTTTTTTTTTTCAGTTTATTTTTCAGTTATAGTTTACTAACGATGTTTGGGTCGGTTGCTTCAGTTTTCACGGGGCCTTATCAGTAGATTGTAACTTAGACGAACTTACACATACACATCTTAGCCAATGTCACTGCAAAACTTCAATATGTTTAACTAACTAAATCTACTAAATTGACCCTCTTAGACTAAGAAAGAACTATACCATATAGAAATCGTCAGTTGTCTCGAAATAAATATTACCATCCTAGGCATCGATCACGGACGGATCACCCTATAAATGTGTTGACATGTGAGACAAACGATTAACTTAAAGTGTGCAGTAAGAACCCGGTAATACTTATGAATGACGCACTGAATAATTCAATTTTCATAGTCTGAAAATCTCAACAACGCGGAATGACATGTTAATTTCTCGAATTCGAAAGGTGTTGGTTTTCCGCCAATCCGGCTCGTTCAAAGCATCGTTTTCCTCATCCGCTTTCGACCTTGTTGTATGAACATTGATTAACATTTACTGTCGTACTTTGTAATAGCAAAAGCTATCGCATTTTGTTATAGCAGACCATCGCACTTTGTAGTAAAAAAGCTGTTGCAATAGTGACAGCACTAGTGATCTCCCAAGTCTGACAATTTTATTACAAAGTGCGGCGATTATTACTGTTTCAGTATACGTAGGAGTATCTTTTTCAAGGAGGACTGGTTGCCTAAACAGTTCACGAATATTATTGGTCCCGCGGTTAAAGCGATGAATTGCAACTGTGATCTTTGCACCATAATGCTAAAGAAATGTCAAGGTATTTTTAATGCTGATTTCATAGCCAATGGAGGTGGAAACGGTATCTAAACATATCACTCTCACTGATATGTCGAGTTGGTATTTTCAACGTCGAGTTTATACACAACTATACACACCATAAGAAACACTAAAACATTCCATTGGCGTAATCAACGTAATATCAATTTACTCTTGGCAAAATGACCGGAACAGGAGAATTGGACCGAAAGCAACTAAAAAAATATATGACCTGTTGATAACCTTACATGGAGAAGGAAAGGCAAGATTACCGAATCACAACTGACTAAGAAATTACTCAGGAACTCAACGAAATGATTCCGCTCGCCTAGTTTCGCGGGAAAGATCAATTCAGCTGTTGACACCAATCGTAAGATAGAATCTACCACCTAAAGCACTGAGCTATAAAAAAATCTCCCTTTTCCTCAACAGATAAGAGATTAAGTCGCTCTGCAACCTAATCTACGGACCTCAATCTTAAGTTCATCGATCACATTTCCACACCGCTACAGTAAACAGCAAATTTATTAGCAAGAATCTTTAACAACTGGCTCGTTCTAACAAACACAACACTGCTTAGAAAAATTTTGTAACGCGTAATGAAAACGAAGCCGCCACAGGTTCGACATCAGCAAGACACAAGTGCCGAGATAAAATCGAGGACTTCTTCATTACTGTTTTCTCTTTGAATAATTCGTGAATATTTCTACAAATCAAGTAAACATAAACCCTGGGCAAAAGAAAATCCTCTCTTGCGTTGGATTCGAACAACCCAGCCTCGAAGAAGAACTTTTGAGTCAGTAATAAGGTTACTCTTGTATAATTGACTGAAGCAATCATCCTTTACCATTAAATCTATTCCATCAAGTGTACCGGCATAGCTGTTCTACTAATTTTATTTTTTCTGTACCTTCTTTTGAGGTCCTGGAGCCGTGTTGGCATTCTGTTCCTCTGTGTTTGGACCTGAAGCCTGTTGATCCGTAGCCATTTTTGAACGACAGGAGCCCATATGATTTGGCCTCTAGAGGAGATGAAGTGGAATCAATACGCCGAGCGCTTTCACAGCTGCGGGGGAAGAAAACTCAAAGTCTTACAATGAAAATCACCTCGTGTACGGTAAATATAACAGTAGCGCTAAATTTACAAATGGCTGCCTTGCGTTTTGTCAACGTATCCGAGGCGGCGATAAACGCTATGACAGTAAATTCAATTTCGCAGAGCACAAAAGATGCTACTGAGTTTGGCGGACCATTTTTCAATTAAAGACGTGAAGCTTCTGCTGACTAAATTATATAAAACCTGTTAAAACTGCTTGCAGTATCTTGATACGAGTAATCATCAGAATTGTAACAAAATATGCGCAATGCTTTTTACATGTACAGAATTTACATCAGAATTCGAAAGCACCTGAGCAATTATACAAAGACAATTGTTCACCTCAGGCTCTAAAATCCCGGGGGGACTATTCGTCTAGGGGATTATTCAATAATATTCACTTCGCCTTCGGTGAATAATTGTTAGATCATGTGCACGCAAAAATTTTAGCTTTCTCATTTGATGAGAACACGGCAATTAATCACAAACAGCGCTAAAAGTTGAAATTGAGTGCAGAAACCTGAAATTAAATTGATTGACAGAAGAGTCGCGAAGGACAGGTTAGGAGAAAGTAACAACGTTTTAATCCAAAAAAAAACACCCAGCTAAGCACGAAGCATCAGCTAACAGTCGGGAAGTTTTTGGTTTCCAAAAACGACTACGTCGAAAGTATTAAGACGTATGAAGCGCGCTGAACAAAATCCTCTCGGCGTTTACGCAACAGTCCGTACACCTGAAAGATGGAGATTAATTACGAGCGTAACAGTCTTCGTGAACTGGTTACTGCTATCAAGCGAATTCTTACCGCGAAAGAGTGCAAACACACAATTATTCGCGACAGAAAGTTAAAAGCTCGAAGCGAATTCTTGCGGGAATTCGACGTCGATTTCGGCAACAACTCTACTCGGCAGCACCAATGAACCATAAACACGGCTAAGAGGAAAACAGAGACAGATTTTTGCATGTATGTTATTTAAAAGTAATCACATCAATTTTTCTCGTGTTGTTTGGAATAAATCAGCACTACTAAATTTTTTAGAACAAAAAGTTACACTCGCACAGAGGGCTTGTGCAATTTGGGTCGCTCTTAAAGAATTTAATTGTGCTGATTTTATCCCAAATTGCATTCGAAATCATCTGTTTACCTTAACAAGATAATTTGGTTTTATCAACAAAGTTGATAATGTAAATAAATTGGCAACCGTAAAGAGTTACACAGTTGATGTTTCGAGCGTTGTCCCTTAGAGTGGTTCGCTCTGGCGAAGGACTAACGCTCTGAAAGCTTTGAAACTCTTTACGGTGGCAAATTCACATTCTTAACTCAGTTGACACAAACAAATCATCTTGTTATACAACACCACCGACGCTGCAGTACAATTTCTTAAGAAACTTAACCTTTGATTACCTACATCTACTGTTAAGCGCGCTAGTAAGGAAAAGGTGGCATTGAGCCGTACACAAAGTAGTATTACTTACATTCACGCAGCTTTTCCTTTGAATTTTTGACTCAACCTGGAGACGTGTTCGTCTCGATTACTCGCCATACAAATGGTATCCATGGTGTTTGATTGTTTTATAATCTCGTCCCCAGAGGTCACGCTCCGCTAATCGCTTGCCGGCGGCATGATATGGGAGTTACTACTTCACGGGCGACGAGTGAGGGATAAAGAAAAGACCGAAATACGAGTGGTCAGCGGGGAAACAAATTTAATACGTCATATAGAGACATATCAATTATAGTTGCGGAAAACAATAGTGTTGTAAAGCCTAAATATCAACAGTATACTTCGCTAAATAAAATGTTAAGCAATTTTTCAAAAGTGTTGATGGCAAATAATATTATATCTTTTACTACTGTAATAAACAATAGAGGCATCGGAAAAGGCATTGGTGGCATCCGGAAAGGCACCAAGAAGAATTATATTTACGTTTTGTAACTACTTGCTGAGAGAAGAAAAAAGAAAACCAAAACCGTGGTCCCCAAATGAATTCTCCCACCTTGCCCCAAAAAATTTTCAAATTTTCCGCAACTTCACCTGTTCCTATTCGTAGGTCCGGCCAAGCCTTTATAGTCATTGGCTTCCGTATAGCCACTAACTATAACTATGGCCTACAAATACACGTGTTTAGTGTTAAATTGTGAAGTTTACGACAGTTAAAAGAAACGCATCGGAGAATAAAGAAATTTTACAACTACCGTTCGTAGAGTGCTGCTCACCAGTT